ATGACCAGTTACTCAAAATAGATTAATTCTTCACATTCCTCTGATGAAGATGGATATTTAAATTTTTTTCTTGTAATAAATGAACTAATATTATTGTGAGTCACATCTCAAAATAATGAAAGTGTTTTCCTACCACAATAAAAGCTCAAACCATCAAGTTTAACAACAACAACAAAACCAAGGACAAGTTTAACCAATACAATCTGGCCTTATCTATTTGAATGGAGTATGATAATAAGAAATAAAACAGAGACTCTGGAAGGTTTTCCAGACTGCTGAGTCAGAGAGAAATATTTTGTAAAACTGGTCTATTTTGAACATCTAGAAGCTCATACACAAAATATCCCAGAACAGAATAAAACAAATTTTCCTTATAATGCAGTTGTTTCCAGAGATCTATCATTTTCCTTGTTTATTCAAGTTTTTTCATATGAATGTGCACCATTAAAATAAGCCATGCATATATAAATGTGTAAATGTGTGTGTACACACACACACACATATATGCAGGAGTTGTGGTGTGGCACTATAGGATAAGTGCTTGACAGCAAGTTTAGCAGTTAAAACTCTACCCACTCTTTGAAATACCCTGTACAGGGTCGCTATGAGTAAGAACCAATTCAGTGTCACTTAACAGTATATATATGCATGGTTTTAAATGCCCACAAGTTGACTCCAACTCATAGAGGTCCTATGTATAACAGAAGAAAACAGTGCTTAGTACAGCACCACACTCAAAACCAGCAGATCAAAGACAATTGTAAAACAAACTGAAAAAGTGTTTAAAGATATTAGAGACAAAAATAGGACTGAATTGTGACATTCTCCTTGATATAACCAAAAGTACTAAAAAATAACTGAAAAGAGAACTGCATTTTTACTACATACATCAGTATCATTTGATGCCATGTGTCCGCTAAAGTCAACTCATACACCACTACCCATAACACACATTTCCAGAGACTAAACCATGTCATGACACTTAACTATCTTTTGTACTGTGGTGTGAAAAAAATATGCAATGTTGAATACAACTAAATGTCTCACCACTTGAACTGAGATGAACTGTGGCAATATACAGAAATGGGGTTAGAATGTATTAAATCTCATCTCCAACATTATACTAGTTGTGTAACCTTTAACAAATACTTTAATCTCTCAAGAACAGATTTGTTACATTAGATAAGTTTCTTCAGCTGTAAAATACGGCTAAAAATAGCATCTAGGCTAATAATAGTATGAATATGTACTCACTGAATCTACTTCATGTGTAGATTCAATGAGTACATATAAAGCAAATGAAAACAATACTTGGCTCAAATGAGTTTATACACAGGTAGTGCCAATCATTATTATTTCTGAAGAGAAATTGTGAGTAACCTTGTAAGCAATACTTGGAATCACTCTTTTTAAAACTGAAAACACACATTTGTCCTATCTATTCCTAGACACCACCACTTATCTGTCAGTTTACCATACTCTGGTGGCTTTCTGATGCTGTCATTCTGGAGGCTATCTATGCCACTTGTACTTTAAATACCAGCAAGGTCACCCATGGTGGCCAGGACTATTTCTTATTATTTAGTCACTGAAAACCTTGTGTATAGTAGTGGAACACCATCAGATAACACCAGAATATTGAATACTGACCCGTAATGAAAAGCACCAGAATATTGTCAGAGATGGTGCTGGCAGATGAACCACAAAGGGTACAATGCACTCAAAATTGGCCTGGGGAAGAAGTGCCTCCTCAAAGTAGAGTTGACTGTGATGACCTGAATGGCATATAGTGTTTGGGATTCCCACCCCCTTGGTACACAGGGTTGACAAGGATGGGCAACTTAGACATTAACTACACAAAATTGGGGAGGAAAGGGGGAACTGCAAAGACAAGAAGTGACTGGCTTACAAGGTTTCAATAGAGAACCTAGATCCAGAGGGTACAAGGGAAAGGTAGAATGTCCACTGAGTTGGTTTCCAACCTGTCTGGATGGGGCTGATGAAAGGAGATGGGAATAAGACTCTTGTGGTTCAATAGTGAATGATTGCTAGCAGGATTGACTGTGAGGGTTGGAAAGGTAAAGGTAGACATTTTGTAGCAAAAGGAGGGGAGTGGTTGATTTTGCAATGTAGGAGTAGAGGTCCCTGGGACCATGAAGGGAGAAAAGCAGAGTGCAGGACCCTATCCAGAGAAGCAGTCACACCAGAGGTGGAGGCAGAGGGGATGACGAGGAGAGATGGAGCAGCTCTAGACTCAGGGAGGGAAAGGGGTTGTATGTAGACGGCCGGGAAGCAGGCTTGCAGGGTGTACCCTTTGATTGTTTGATGATACATGCAGGGGACTGTAATCATAGCAATGAAGTGAAATAAGATAAGATGGATGTAAAGCTATCGTTCTCCCATATAAACGATCACATAATTCACAATAAAAAAATAAATGAAAAAATAAAAGACACGGTGCCACCCCAAATGGTTGATGTTTAACAATTTCAAGAGCTAGTGTATGATCATTGATCCTGAAGGAAAAAGCCAGGGTGCACTGATGCCACTGACAAAGAACAAGGCTCCAGAAATTGATGGGCTACAAAGTGAAATATGTACTCACTGATTAGTACCAAGTAACTTGGAAGACAGCTTCTTGTCCATCTGATGAAGAAATCCATATTTACACCCATTTCAAAAAGAAGTGACCCAATGGAATGCAGAAATCATCAGACAATAGTATTAATGTCACATGCAAGTAAAATTTTGTTAAACATAATTTTAAAAATGGCTGCAACCTTACATTAATAGGTTACTGCCAGAGGTTCTTGCCAGATTCAGATAGACAAGGATGTTGAATGAAGGATATAATTTATGATGTTAGATGGATCTTGGCTGAAAGTAGACAATACCAGAAAAATGTTTACCTGTGCTTTACTGACTATGCAAAGTCTTTCCATTGTGTGGATAATGAAAATATGGACAACATTGCAGAGAATAATATTCTGAAACATTCAATTGTGCTCTTGAGCAACCTGTACATAGACAAAGAGGCAGTCATTTGAACAGAACAAGAGAACACAAAATAGTTTAAAATTAGGAAATGTATGCACCATAGTGGTTACAAATCGGGCTGCTAACCTCAAGGTTGGCAGTTCGAAACTACCAGCTGTTCCACAGAAGAAAGATGAGGCTTTCTGCTCCTGTGAAGACATACAGCCTTGGAAACCCTGTGCAGGGTAACTATGAGTCAGAACCAACTCCATGGTACTTAACAAGAACAACAACATGCTGTATTTTTTCACTATACTTATTTAATCTTTATACTGAGAAAATAATCTGAAAAACTGGTTTACATGAAGAAGAATGTAGCATCAGGATTGGAGGAAGAATCATTAATAACTAACAATATGCAGATGATACACCCTTGCTTTCAGCAAAGTGGACTTAATGAAGATCAAAGACCACAGCCTTCAATATGGTTTGTGTCTCAATGTAAAGAAAACAAAAATCCTCACCACTGGAGCAATAACATCACAAGTAGAGAAAAGACTGAAGTTATCAAAGACTTCATTTTGCTCAGATCAATCATCAATCAACACACATGGAAGCAAGAGTCAAGAAATCAAATGGTGTACTTCATTAGGTAAATCTGCTACACAGGACCTCTTCAAAGTATTCAAGAGCAAAGATGCCAGTTTGAGGACTAAGGTGAGCCTGACCCAAGCCATGGTATTTTCAGTAAACTCATATGCATGCGAAAGTTGGACAGTGAATAAAGAGGACCATAGAAGAATTGGTGCATTTGAGCTATGTTGTTGGACAAGAATATTAAAAGGTCCATTGGTTACTAAAAGAACATCAGATCTGTGTTGGAAGAAGTACAACCAGACAGCTCCTTCAAAGCAATGATGGTCAGACTTCGACATTCATACTTCAGACATATTATCGTATTATTCCAGGAGAAGGACATCATACTTAGTAAAGTGAAGGGTCATAGAAAAAGAGGACAGCCTCCAACGAGATGGACTGGCACAGTGGCAGTTACAATGGGCTCAAGCCTAGCAAGGATAGTGAGGTGGGCACAGGACCAACCAATGTTTTGTTCTGTTGTGCATAAGATTGCTATGAGTTGGTACTGATTCGAGGGCACTTAACAACAACAACAACGATTTTTACAAAGTAATTAACAGGAACTCTGGTAATGTAGTGGCTACAAATCAGGCTGCTAACCTCAAGGTCAGCAGTTTGAAACTACCAGCTGTTTTGCGGGAAAAAGATGAGCCTTCTGCTCCCATAGAGATTTACAGAGTCTGAAACTGTATACAGGGTCACTATGAGTTGGAACTAACTCCACGGCATACAACCACCACCACCATCACCACCACCACCACCACCATCATACTATGTAGTTGGAGTCCCTGTGTGGCACTGCAGGTTAAGGAGCTGGAATGCTAGGCTGATTTGAACCAAAAGGTTGGTAGTTCAAGCTCACCAGCTGCTCCTCAGAAACTCTATACAGAGTCACTATGAGTCAGAACTGACTCAGAGGTACTTAAAAACAGCAACATACTTAAAGAGCAGTCCTGGTGTGACACTGTAAGATAAAGTTTTTGACCACAAGGTTGGTTTGAACCACAAGGCTGGTGGTTCAAACACATCAGCCGCTCCTTGGAAACCCTATACAGGGTCACTAAGAGTCGGAACTGACTCAACAGCACTTAACAACAACAATACTTAAATGGGAGTCCTGGTGTCATGCTGCAGAATAATCCATGGGACCGCAAGGTCAGTTTATGGCACAGGTAGTTGTTCCAAACCCACCAGCCACTCCTGAAAATCCTAGACAAGGGTCACGATGAGTCGGAACCAACTCACCAGTACTTAACAACAATTCTTAAATAGATTTAGTGCAAATAAATATGGTTTTCTTATTTATGAAGCAGAAAAACATGAGACCATAAACATTATTGTGTATGTATTATATACTCACACATAAAATTCCTTCTATTACTCACATTCTCATAGAGGGCTTGCAGGGTCTCCAGGTCAACTACAGAATTATCCAAGTTCACAACAGCTGTGGGGGGTTGGGGGGAGGGTAGAATGAAAGAAAAATAGAAGCTGTCATAAGCCAACTGTAAAAAGATACTTGATCAGTAATAATATTCTCGATGCAAAAGTCAGAGAGTAGAAGGGCTTTAAGTTCAATGTTTCCACATATCTCTTAAGAACAACCATGCCCCAGAAACTCCATAATGGCATATGTCAAGTATTAAAGTTTTCACTTGCTCCCCAAATACCAAATCCCATGATTATAACCGAAGTTTAAAAATTCAGTGCCCAAGTTTAAAAATTAGAAAACTTTGTACAATATGAGAAAAATCACTCCTGTTACAGCCACCTCCTATCTTTATATCAATAAATGCTCACATCTACCAAATTACTTACAGTCATTTGCTAAAGGTTAAATCTAACGTCTAAACTGGCAGACTTAGTATAGAAAAAAGAGATGCATTTCCTGTAATAATCACTTAAATTGTTATAATCACAGGTCAAAAATATTTTCATTAAAAGGTGATCATCAAAATGATCTAGTATATAATTTATATACTAAGTAAATGATAACAAGGAGCCCTGGTGTTATGGTAGATTGGATGAGGAGCTCGGCTGGTAACTACAAGGCCAGCAGCTTGAATCTACCTGTCACTTGTTGGGATAAAGAGGCTTTCTGTTACTGTAAAAATGAATGCCTGCCAACTTGGACAATGGCTACCCAAAATGGGGGGCAGGGGGGGGGCAGGGCTACAAAGGCAAGAAGTGACTGGCTTACAAGCTTTCAAGAGGGAACCTAGAGCCAGGTGGCCTGGAGGAAGGCAGAATCTCCAGTGAGTACTATCCAATCTGTCTAGGCGGAGCTGATGAAATGAAATGCAGATGGGTCTTTTGTGATACAATAGTGAATAAGTGATATCAGGACTGATTGTGAGGGTTGGAAATGTAAAGGTAGATGTTTTATAGCAAGGAAGGGAGTGATTAACTTTCCAGTCTAGAAGTGGAGGCCCCTAGGACCATCAACGGAGAAGAGCCTAGAGTGGGACCCTACCCAGAGAAGCAGTGATGCCTGAGATGGAGGCAGAGACGATGACGTGGAGCGATGGAGCAGCTGGGGACTTTAGATCCAGAGAGGGAGAGCGACTGTATGCTGAAGACAGGGTGGGGGTGCGTAGTGTAGGGGGCAGGCTTGCAGGGCATACCCTTTGGTTGGTTGATGATGCATGGAGGGGATTGGAACCATGGCAATGACATTATATAGGATAGAATGAATGTAAAACTAATGTTCTCCCATCTAAACTATCATATAATTCACAATTGGAAAAAATAAATGAATGAATGCCCGCAGAAGGCCTTACAGGGTCTCTATGAGTCAGAAACAACTCAATAGAATACAACCATGACCACCACAGATGATAGCAGATCCAGCCTTAAATAGCTGCCCTTAAAATACAACAACCCATGCTTATATCAAGAGAAGTGGAATGGATAATCAATAACGGGGAATATTTTACCTTTTATTGCATTTTGGGCCTGGGAAACATTGCATTATATTTAGCAGTATTAGGTTTCACAGAGTCCGCTTTGACTCATCTAATACTATAAAATACTATATATAAGCTCTGGTGGTTACTAACAGAAAGGTCAGTGGTTCAAACCCACCAGCTGCTCCTTGGGACAAAGATGTGGCAGTAGGCTTTTGCAAAGATTTACATCTTTGGAAACCATATAAAGCAGTTCTATGGAGTCCTGATGTGGCGTTGTGGGTTAATGTGCTGGACTGCAAAGTCAGTTTGAACCACAAGGTCAGCAATTCAAGTTCACCAGCTGCTGCTTGGAAACCCAATACGGGCTCACTATGGGTGATTAACAACAATGCTGTCCTCTAGGATCAGTATGAAGAGGGAGACACAACAGTACTGGGTTTGGGTTTCGTGTCTCATTATTTGGTTCAATTATGCTGTTGTTGTTGTTGTTGTTATGTGCCGTGGAGTCGGTTCCGACTCATAGCGACCCTGCACAGGATTTCCGAGGCTGTAAATCTTTACGGGAGCAGACTGCCTCATCTTTCTCCCACGGAATAGCTGGTAGCTTCGAACTGCTGACCTTGTGGTTCGCAGGCCGATTCGTAACCACTACGCTACCAGGTTCAGTTATAGGTTATTCAAAATGATTCTGCATTTTCTGAGTACACATTAGATAGAAATGAGGTGAACTGTCCCTAATTAGATTTTTTCCCCTAACCAAATTCATGACACATAGCCTGTGAAATTCTCTTCTATCTTCTTCTGTCCATAGAATCTTTCAATTTTTCAAATCAAGGCTTAAATTTTTCTTCAGTTCTTTTAGCTTGGGAAATGCTGAGCATATTCTTCTCTTTTGATTTCCTAAATCCAGTTGTTTGCACATTTCATTATATTTGACTTTATCCTATGGGACTGACGTTTGAAATTTTCACTTCAGCTCTTTTACCTCATTTCTTCATTTTTATGCTAAAGAGCAAGTTTCTGAGTCTCTTCTGACAGGAATTTGGTTTTATTCTTGTCTTTTTAATGACCTACTGCTTTCTTCCTGCATAATGTTCTTGAACTCAGTGATGCTGAAACTGAAGAATTTGAGCAGCTTTTTAAAGGTGACCTGATACCATAGTGGATTATGGCTGTGCTGCTAATGACAAGGTCAGCAGTTCAAATCTACCAGTTGTTCCACAAGAGAAAGAAGAGGTTTTCTATTCTTGTAAAGATGTATAGCCTGGGAAATTACACCAGAGAATGGGCAACAATTTATGATCAAAAGTGTAGCATTCACCTAATGTCTTAGTCATCTAGCGCTGCTTGCTGTAACACAAATATCATAAATGGATGGTTTAACAAACAGAACTTTATTCTTTCACAGTTGAGGAGGCTTGAAGTCTAGATTCAGAGTGCTAGCCTAAGGGATGGCTTTCACTTTGTTGGCTCTGGGAAAAGGTCCTTCTCTCCTTTGAGCATCTGTAGGCCGCCCATCATTCCTTGGAGCTCTCCATGTCTTGGCATCAATCTTCCCCTGGCTCTAGAAACTTCACAGTGTGGGCACGCTAGGTCCAAAGGACACACTCTATCTACTGTTGGCTCTTTGATTTTGGTGGGATTAGATTCTTCCGAGCTCTGCTCACTTCTTCTTTTATATCTCAAACAGATTTGACTCAAGAAACAAACTAATCCTATAGATTTCATCATAGGAGTGTGGATTAACTACACAAAAGATAATTACCTCACCAGAGCAGAGGATATCAGGTCATACCATGGAGTAGGATTGAATCATATTATATCACCTCATGGAGGTGAAAATTACAACTTAATTGCTAAACCAGTTGCTAGACCAAGCAAAGTTGACACAAAAGCTTAACTATTAAACCTAAGGACAAAATTCAAAAAGTTGGGAAAGGAGGAAGAATGGAGACAAGAATCACAGAGAAATATTGCTGCAATGAAGAGACTGCAATAGAGATGAAATGAATTATATGATTTGAATGCACAACTGATGATTTCCTCTGTTAATCTCCACTTGATTCACAATAAAAAGTTGGGTGTTTTTTAAAGGTATATATCCAAATAAAGGAGCTCTGGTAGCATAGTGGTTACGATTCGGACTGCGAACCTCAAGGTTGGCAGTTCAAAACTACCAGTGGTTCCACAAGAGAAAGATGAGGCGGTCTGCTCCTGTAAAGATTTACAGCCTCAGAAACCCTGTGTAGGGTCGCTATGAGTCGGAAGCGACTCCACGGTACATAACAACAGCAACAACGTATCCTAATAATCTATCCAGGAAAACAAAATTAAAGCAATAGTTTTGAGCAGCTCCTGAGAGTAGATCTCAGTGGTCTCCTGTGCAAAAATTGGGTCATATTTGCACCAGGTAAGCTAGTATAGTGTCTGCTTCACACGCCAGTCAAACAGATTTCCAAACTCTTGTGATGCCAGTGTTCACAAAACATGATACTACCTACTATTAAAAACTTTCAAGGGCTCTGAAGTAAAAACAAACTATAATTCAGAAATGTATCTTAGCGAATAGTCTCTTGCAAGCTTTAATTCAATAACAGAAATAATTCCCTCGCCTTACCCAGCTAAGTCTCTAGGACTTAAAAAGCTAACACAACTTAATGCTGAGGAATATTTACACGTATAGTTGCAGGGACAAGTGCAAGTGATTAGCACAAATTAACCACAAAAAAAGAGAAACAAATTATCTGTATTCTGGCAGAAGAAAAATAATAATTAAATTCCAACACATTGCTTTTATTAGGAAGGTAAAAAGAAGGACGAAGGGACTAGAAGAGAAGGAAATTAACATTCATTCTTACTTTTTTATAAGCCTTCCCCCTAGCCTCAAAGGTTGGGCCATTTAAGGTTTTTATAGGAAGTGACGTGGGCATCTAAATTACTGGCCTTTTTCTGCAATTTTTTATTTTCTTAAAATGTCTTCCTAAGTGTTATTAACCCTGGAGGTTATACTGTGTACATTGAAAAAAATCAGGATCCCCACCTGGAAATTCCAAAACAGTCAGAATGCCATTCTGAGCTGATCTCTCTACCTTGAATTTAACTGGTTCCGCAGATTTCCTCGGAAGTTATTTTCTAAAGGCACCCGAAAGAGACTAAGACAAGGGTATTACTGAGGCAACTTGTTCACACCCACCTACTCATTGAGGAGATACATTTAAACATGTTTTGTTTGGAATAAGCCTAGTAGCAATATTTTTTGACTTACCCACAAACATTTCTCTTAAGGCAGTTTAACATGGAAGGCCTTTGTTCTAAGGGACAGATAATAAATGCTAGATTTCCATACATTCTGTACTTGAATTACATAAAGAAAGGCTTTCCTATATGCAGAAAAAAATCTGATACACAGTCTGACACTGGTTCATCTCAAGCATACTTGCTTATACAAGGTTAACAACGTAAGTTACAGATGAAGTCAGTAGGCTAGATACATCTACAGGCCTTGTTTATAAGAGCTGTACAAGTTAAATTGTTAGAG